AAACTAATTGGTTGTCTCCTATGATTGACGGGACAGTTGGCTACGACTACGGCGGCGTCATAACGAACACGAAGTCGAGGGACCAGTCGCTGGCCGACCAGAACAAGCGTCAGATGGTGTCGAAGGACATGCACTGTCTATACCCGGGCGACCTCTACCCGTTCCTGCGGCGCCCGGTGTTCCTAATCGTCGACAGCGACAACAGCACCGCCTTCCAGCACATGCCCCGCTTCTTCGGGCAGCCGCTGGTTGCGCTGATGTCACCCGAGGAGTGTCCGCCGCCTTTCCACGACCAGCAGCACAAGGGCTCACTGTTCACGCTCTTCATGCACTGCCCGCTCACCGCCGTCTGTCTCGTCTCCAATATCATCGAACTGTCCGTTCAGTTGTGGGAAAAGGGTCAGCAACAGATCGACCGGTTCCTGGCCGAGGCCGGCCGGCTACTAGTCCGGGCCAGGAGTGTCGACCCGGCGTACCTCCAGTTCTACGGCGACGACTTCCTGAGGCTACAGATCCTGCGCTTCATATTCTGTTCGGTTGTCATGAAAATGCATCGACTCTTCAAAGTTTGTCTCAATTTGTCTTTTTGTGTCTTATATTTAATTTGTCGACAGTTTTTGATTCATTAGTTTTTGTGTTGATTTGTGTTATATTGAGGAATATTTTTCATTTATTTTATGCTTTTAAATAGCGTTTATATTTGTGAATTATTTTTGTTTTATATGTGATTCAATTTAACCTAGCTTACCATTGAATGCATTGTATTTTTAGTGCAATTTAGTCATTAATTTCTTAGTAAGCAAATAGTTATAGCATTTAAACCACTACTAAAACAACTCGCTTTCCACTGTCATCCCTGACCCCCTCCACCATCATAGGGTCGGCGCACGTATATCCCGAAGTCTCATCCGCCGATACCGGACAACGAGATCATAGACTCGCCATCCCTGCGGCGACTCATACTGGAAACGGCTGTCATTCTGGACATCCGGTCCCTGTTCGCCGACTCGGAGGACGAATGACATACAGTCGCTGTTGACATGATGTTTACGCTGGCGTAGAGGCACTACCGGTACTAACAAACTATACAAACAAACAAACAACAAAACAATAGCCCCGAACACCCGCCCCCGGACTCACACGGATACAATATACCACACAAACAGAAAAGTTGTTCACAAATAAATACCCCAGATACTAAAGACACATTAAATATATTTCCAA